CCACCACTGTGTGGGGGAGCCTCTCACCTCGCAGGTGTTCCTTTGTCCCTTGCTGCTTGAGTAACGTAGACGGTGTCTTCCTTCTGTGCGTGGATGGATCTCACCTTGGCCTCGGAGCCCTGTTCCTCTCAGGCCTAGCACAGCCTGGCGCTCGGCCCGGGCCTGTGTGACGCACCCATCGCCTCCCGGGCCAGCGCCTGCGCCTGCGCCGTCTTCCCGAGATGGGCACCTGGCTTCCCTCCTGGCTCACCTGGGACCCGTGGCGCTGTCTCCAACTTGGAAACGCTGGTCCAGGAGGAGCTCTCTGCTGGGTGAGCCTCGCACTGAACGGGGATCTAGGTGGGAGCCGGGTGCTCTTAGTTCACATTCACTTGGTGCCATTTCAGAGAGAGAGAGAGGGAGACGCGTAGATGAGCAACGAGGGAGGACCCGGGGCTCACGGTAGCTCTTGTCCCAGTTGGTGAATGTCGGATTGAGGGGCATCTTGGATGCAGGTCTGCAGAGCCAGCTTCAGGAGAGGAGCGAGCCTGTGTTGGTGTCTTGGACGACACCGTCCCCCTGCCCTCTGCCCTGGGCCTGCTGCTCTGCCTGGAGCTCATACTGGCCGCCCTCCTCTGCTCTGGGGTGATCCCCACGGCCAGGCCACTGCAGCACTGCATCTCCTTCCCTCCTCCTCCCGCCCTCCTCCAGACGGGTGGTGCCTCCCCAGGACGCCTCTGTGACCTGTGCCTCGTGCTCAGGCAGGGCGCTCAGATAGGCGCTTCCTGTCCATGGGCGGTGACGGCGGGCTGGCCGAGTCCACCACCGTGCTGCTGCTGCTGCTGCTGCTGGGTGGCCGCCTGCGCCCCCTCCCAGCCCCCGCCCTGCTGTGCCCCCTCCCAGCCCCCGCCCTGCTGTGCCCCCTCCCAGCCCGTGCCCTGCTGCGCCTCCAGGAGGAGAGCCAGGCCTTATGGAGCAGGCTGCCGAGGAGAATGAGCTGCCTGGGCTCCCCTCTGAGGACAGACCTCCCCCTTCAGAGGGGCTGGCAGCGCGCGGAAGCCCGAGCTTGCGGTTTGATGACTTTGCTGCTGACCAAACGGCGGTTTTTGGAAGTGGACTCTCATTTTCCAATAACAGCCGTCATAGAGCTGGGGATGCTTTTGCTGGAGGAAAGGGCCCATGCGTGACCATACACATAGAGCAAGTCCTGAGGCTTCCGCGTAGTCTCCCGGCAAGGCAGGAGTCGCGGGGTCTCCTACATGATGAACCAGCCTCTAGAAAAAGGGGGTGTTTTCTTTTGTTTGGTTGATTTCCACTTAAGACAGGTGCGCCCAATAACCAGTTCCTTAAACACGCCGTGTCCACTGAGGTGCCGATGCTTTTGTTCTAGATACATATTTCTCGGGGAGAAGCCAGCTTATTGGGGTGTCCTTTCAGAAGAGCCGGGGCACCCGGGCCTTGTTTGAGAAGGCGGTGTGTTGATTTTCCCGGCTCTCCCCTCTCAGTGATGGGGTGCCACGTGGTTTCTGCACCTTGGTTGCCTGAGAGCTCCCACTGATTGGGATCATTTGCTGGGGTGACCTTTGGGAATCGTGGGGCTTATTAAGATTTGTTAGTTATGAAGTGTGCTTTCCCATCACGTGTGGGCGTGAGTCAGATGGGGGCAAGGGGGCCCTCCCCTGGAGGGCTGGTGGCACCCATCACCGGACCGACCCCCGTCTCCCATTCTGTGGCTCACTGGTGCGGCCCGGGGCTCTGCTCTGGACACAGCTTCTCACGGCCGCTGTCCGCTGGCCCAGGGACCTCACGTGGAGGGACGGGGCGCGGGGTAAAGAAGGCAGGTGGTGGACTCTCGAGCTGAGCGGATTCCTGGAGGTACGTTTGAACCTACTCAGCAGTGCCCCTTGCCGACTGTGTGTGCTTGTGAAAAGTGACCTAGAGAAGGGGCACGGCTCTGTGACTGCAGTGTCATACCGTGGCTGGGTTTGGTAGCAGTGCAACGTCGGCCGGCTCTTGGGTTGGTTCCCCGTAAGTCTCCCTTGGCATCCGTGGACGCCCAGTGACAGCACAGCCCAGGGCTGCTCACACGGTGCCCGTGCATGCCAGTGAGCGGCGTCTGCCTGGAACCCACAGCCCTGCGCCCTGACCCTCAGTCGCCTCCGCGCGGGGGTGACGGCGAGAGAGCCGTCTGTCTGTGCTGCGCAGGGCGCGGGGCTGCTGGGACCACAGATGGTCGGAGCCGCGTGCCGAGGCAGCCTCACTGAACAGTCCTGCGGCCGCAGACCCTGGGCCTGCACCAGGCACTGGGGGGCCACGGGCTCCGCCTCCCCCAGGGGCCAGGGCTCCTCCTCCCCCAGGGGCCAGGGCTCCTCCTCCCCCAGGGGCCAGGGCTCCTCCTCCCCCAGGGGCCAGGGCTCCTCCTGCAGCCCTGTTGTGAATGTGGACAGGATGCTGTGTCCTCCCACCTGGGAGCTTGCCTGCGCTGGCTGGGGTTCACGCTGCCAGCCTCTGTGGCTCCGTCTCCTACCTGCCCCTTCCTTGCCTGCTTGCTCCATTCAATACCTGCCGCGCCGCCGCCTGGAGCTCCTCTGGGTGGGGTCCGGTGTCGCCTAAGGCAGCTCCTGGGTCCCTGGTTGCCACGCGTTGAAAACCCAGTTGGGTTTCCTGGTGGAGATGGCGGGAGGGTGACGCTCCTCCGTGGGCTGGGGAACGCGCGGGGTCCCTGGCACAGCGTGCTTGGTGCTTGTACCTTGACCCCTGGGTTCTTCGAAAGCGCTGTACCTTTAATTTTCAGGATGCTGTCATCAGCTTGTCGGATCATTTGATCTGAGGAATTTAATTACTTGTTTAGATCCGTCCCTATTCTGCCGAGGATTTAGGGTGATTTTATCTAAATTGTGGGGAAAGTGGCTGTCTGCGCAGTCCCCGACAGATTGATAGTCCTCCAGCTCTGTGTGTTTTAAATTAAAAGCTCTCTGACGTTCCCGGCTCTGAGTAAACACTGTCTGAACCGTCTTGAGAGGAGACAGAGTTTTCTGGCTTTGGAGTCGCGTTTCCTCGCGCTCCCCCTCCTGCCCCGAGCTCACCCTGGCTGGGCTAGGGCTGTGCCTGGGCCTCCCCGGGCTCTCCTCTCCGTCCCTGTCACTCTCGCTGCCTGCCCGCCACAGAGAAGGTGCAGCAGCCCTGGGAAAGCCCGACGGCCATCTCCTGGCCCAGGAGCCCTCGCCCCAGCCCCGTGCTCACGCAGCGTGGAGGAGCAGAGGAGCCCATGGTGCGCCACCTTCCTTTGACAAGTCCCTTCCTGCCTGGCCCCAGGACAGCGGCCGCCCCCTCTGATCCGGCCTGTGGAGAGCTGAAGCAGCCCGTCCAGGCGTCTCCGGCCACTCCCCTTCTTGTCCAAGGACGGCTTCCTGAGCAGCCACCGAGCCACCCGGAGGACTCCTCTTAGAATCCTGTTATCTTTTGTACCCAGAAAAGGGCCTCCACTCGGCCCTGGGACCCAGCCTCGGCGGTTTCAAACACCCCGGGGCAGAGGCGCGAGGGTTCTCTCCGCGTTTGGAGAGTCTGATGGAAGACGGCCGCAGCAGAGGAGCCGGCCGGAGCCATCCCTCTGCGGACACCACACCCCATGTCACCCACCTGTGGGCGGCCTTGCCACCGAGCAGAGAAGGAACAGACGGGAGCTCTTCTTGTCCTGCTGCCTGCCCAGGGTCCCAGGAGCAGGACGGCTGCCACACAGGGCTGCAGGGGGTGGGCAGGGGGCGGGCAGGGCCGTGGCCCACCCTGAAGCCCAGGCAGGAGCTGAGCCCCCACCAGCCACCTGTGCTGCTCCACGCAGGAGCGGGGGCTACCATCGCCCCGTCAGTAGGGTACAGCGTTCCCAGAGGGAGGGCCGCCAGCCCTGGGCCAGGAGGGCGGCCTGCGGTGACCCTGAGGCCGACCACGAGCACCCAGCACCGTGCAGAGCAGACCCCAGGGCAGCCGGCACAGGCACAGGTAGGGCCCCAGGAACAGCGAGCCCTGAGCAGCTGGGGAGACCCCGTCTGCAAATAAGATGCAAAAGAGGGCTGGGAGGGGGCTTGGGGTCCAGGGCCCCGAGTTCAACCCCCGGTAACCCCCCCCCCCCCCAAAAAAAAAAAATCCCTGCTGGTGGAGGGCGTAGCCCATGCAGGAGAGCTGCTCCCTGCCTTGGGTGCATTGGGGTGTCACAGGGGGTGAGGGTCACAGTGCTGGGACCCATGCTCTCACAGGTGTCCCTCCCCTCGTGAGGTAGGTGCCAGGGGAAGTGCAGTAGCTGGCACCGCGGTGGCCACCCTCGGGAGACGAGGCCCACCCGGCACCCTGCCCACCAGTGCAGCTGGCGGCCTGGGCGTCTGGGAGGAGGATGTTGGGGTTCAGAGCTGCAGAGACTCTCAATTATTAGCATCTCGCACTCGGACAACTTCCAGAGCCGACTCGGGCAGTTCCAGGGGAGCACAGACACAAGAGCCGACGTGTTTCTAGTGGTTCCTAGGCATCTGCATCCGTGTCCCTGGACAAGTGGACATTCGCGAGGCCCCCTCCTTAGAGCTGGGTTCAGTGCTCAGCCAGCTTGTCCCCATGCCAGGACACACCCTGTGTGTGTTCCCTTCTCACCTGGAAGGCTGTGGCAGTGTCCATGGCCAGGTGCCTCGTGACTAGGAGTCCATCCAGGGGACAGTGTGACAAGTCTCTGACGGTGGGGACCTCACGCCTGACCGTGCGTGGTGCCATCCCGGCATACTTGGGGAAAGCCAGGTAGTGCCGTGGGATGGAGTGCAGGTCCCCAAGGCCACACTGGGACCTTGCCCAGGGGGTACACAGCACTGCAAGGCCGGCTGCGTCCGGCACCCTCGATGGCAGTGACTTTCAGCCATTTCCACCATCTGCCTGGGTCTCCCCGGGAGCCTCTTGCACAGAGCGAGGCCTGCGTGGTGTCGGCCTCCCACTTCCTGTCGGTGTGTGTCTGTGCACTAGAACTCCCCGTCTGTCCGTCTCTGCAGATACGGAGCGGCTGTATTCCGTGGTGTTCCAGGAAATCTGTGGTCGCTACGAGAAGGAGTACAGCTGGGACGTCAAGTCGCTGGTCATGGGCAAGACGGCCCTGGAAGCGGCTCAGATCATCATCGACGTCCTGCAGCTGCCCATGTCCAAGGAGGAGCTGGTGGAGGAGAGCCAGGCCAAGCTGCAGGCGCTGTTCCCCGCAGCCCAGCTCATGCCAGGTACCTGTCTGCCGGCCCCGGGGCCACGGTGGGAACCCCGCCCCCGACCTGCGGAGGCGCTCGAGGTCCACGCGCTCGGCTTACCTTTCTGTGTCCCCTACAGTCTCGGGACCCCAGAGAGTTGGGTGGACGCCGTGGGGTGTGGTGACGCTGTGCTCTCTCGGGGGCTGCTAAAACCACATGCGTCAGTTTCACTCATGTCTGGGTCCAAACACACCTGGGTTTTGTTTTTTTATCAATATCCTGCCTTTTATTTTTTTTTCTTCCCTCCCTGCAGGGCTGGGAGTCCAGCCCAGGGCCTTGCTCATGCGAGGCAGGCGCTCTACCCCGAGTCGCCCCCGGCTCTTTGTCAGCCGTCTCTAACGGCTGTGTTGCTCTTGGAATTACTCCAGAGTCGAGCTCCAGCAGTGGCTTTGCCTTGGTCTTTGCAAAATCAGATATAGGATGAATACTTCAGCAACTATTCAAACTTTTAACGGTGCGATAAGCAGCTAAATCTCTCCAAAGAGCCTTGATTTTCAAAAAGTTAAAGCCCTGATTCATTTTTATTTATCGTGTTTGTATGCCTGTCAGGTAGCCCTTAAATTCTTAATAGTTTCTGGAGGGGTGCTGGGGATGGACCCACGGCCTGCCTTGTGCCGGGGAAGTGCTCCCCTGAGCTGCCCTCCTCCCCGCCCCAGCTCAGGCTGCTGCTTGGCCCGAGTCCAGTCCCTTGGGCCTGTTAACTGAGGTCCGGTCGGCCCTGGATCGCCTGCTAAAGACAGAAGGGCAGGGGTTCCTGAGTACAGGCCAGGAATTGGGCTCTCTGACCCCTCTAGGTGAAGAGGGAGTGCTCTCTAAGATTCCTGGGGCCAGAGGAGAGGATCTGCAGCCACCAGGTCACCGTGGACCTGCAGCTGTGTCAGGGGAATCGCGCAGTCGCGGAGGCGCGCTCTTACTTGTATGATCCTGTTTCTCTGCATCTTGGCCTTCCTGTACCATTTGTGCATGAAGTAGCCCTGGCGAGTCTTGAGGGAACCCATCTGGAGAGTTAACACTTGTGTTTTACATTGGGGTTCACACGGCACGGCCTCCTCGGGCGCCTCACCACTGCTGCGGGTGAGTGGTTGACCTGTACTCTGTTGCCACCTCGCGGGTCCGCAGGGCCTTCACCTCGCAGATCTGACACCACCCCCTCGGCCTCTGCAGCCAGCCCCCTGCCACTGCTTCTGGGAGCTTGGCCCCTGTGGGCTCCTGTGCTCGGTGGAATCCTGCAGGGTGGGTCCTCTGGATGGGCCAGTCCCACTGAGCACCATGTCCTGGGAGCACCATGTCCTGGGAGCACCATGTCCTGGGAGCACCACGTCCTGGGAGCACCACGTTGGAGCACGTGACGCGTCTCCTCCCTGAGGCGGAGTAGCGTTCCCTCGTGTGCGGGCCGCACCTCCTTTCCTCGCCGCCGTCTTGGGGGCTCGGGGTGTGCTCCTGCTTCCCGGCCTCTGAAGAATGCTGCTCTGAGCCTGGGCTGGGCCGTCCCTGAGGGCCAGCGTTCAGTTTTTCAGGGGTGTGCCCAGAAGTGAAGGTGCTGCAGCAGGTGGCAATCCCTGCAGAACTGCCACGGAGGCCGCACATCCCCTTTCTCTTCTTGCTGGTCCCGGGGGTTGAATCCAGGGTGCTCGACCGCTGAGCTCTAGGGTCTCACCAGACTGCTGAGTCTCAGTTGCTGAGGCCCGCGTCTAACTGGGTTCTCCCGCCTCAGCCCTCCGCGTGCCTAGTTCACAGTGGGTGACACGTGTCCTACAGTGGTGTGGTGACGTCTCACTGTGGCTGTGAACTGGCGTTTCCTGGGGATGTAGAGCATCTGAACGAGCTCTGCCCATCTCTAGCGGTGGAGAAATCCTCCTCGCGCCCTTTGTCCTTCCGTGATGTGGTCTTTTGTTCTTGCTGTGCCATCTCTCCAGTGCGCTCCTCGTCTCCTCCCACGAGTTGATCACTGCACGTCTTGGGTCCCATCTTGGGTCCACTTTGATGAATTCTGAACGTGGCCCTGGTTACAGGTCCGACTGTGTTCTCTCCCGTGGGAATGTCCCTTTGTCCCCTGCCGTGTGTTCCAGTCTTCTCTTTCCTGTGGCCAGGGCTCTGGCTGTCTTGTCACAGAGTGTCCGTCCCCACGTGGGAGGCCTCATTTCTGGGCATGTGGACTCCATGGGCCACACTGTTGTGGTGACCACAGGTTTGTGACACCTGTTGAGAGCAGGAAGTGACGGTTTCCCACTCTGGCCTGTTTGTCCAGATGGCTCCTGGCTGCTCTGGGTCTCTAAAAATTCCAGGCAGGTTTCGGGGTGGGTTTCTCTGTTCCTGAAAAGACCCCACTGGGATTTGGGTGGGATGGTTTGAACTCACAGGCTGCTGTCCTGGCTGTGAGCACGTCGGCTGCCGTGGCGTTTGCGTGGTCTGTGGGCGTCCCCCTTGATATCTCTCTGCCGTTCTGGGGGCTGGGTGCCCAGGCCGATCACCGCCGTGGGTCGTCCCCGAGTGCTGTGTTCTTTAGGCCATCTGAACGCCCTGGATTCAGTGACTGCCTCGGGAACTGTTGGTTGTATGTGCACAGATGTGGCCGATTTTGTTGGCTTTGTGTCCTACAACTCCTCTGAGTGGGTCTGTTTGCTTTAGCAGTTTGGTGTGCACAGGTGTGTCCCCCTGCAAGTTTCTCCGTGTGCACCGCCATCTTACCTGTGAACAGGGCTCTGACCTCTGTTCCAGGGTGGGTTCCTGTGTCCCTCCCTCTCCCTGTTGCTCTAGCTAGACCTGCCGTGCGTGCTGGGGAGGCCTCCTGTCCTGCCCAGGCCTGGGGGGAAGGCTCCGGCCCCTTGCTGGACTGTGACCGTCTGTTCTGGGAAGCCGCTGGCTCTTCTCCGTGCTCGGCCTCTCCAGTGCTTTGCCTGCCCCAGGGGGGTGACCGTGGGCGCTGTCCTCTGCTCTCCCTGTGTTGAGCGAGCCCCTCTTGTGCTGGCATCTGACTCTCTTGATTTGCTCTTGAACCTGAGCTCTGCCTCGCCTCATCAGGGGTGTGACCTGCGGTTGTACCCTGGTCCGTGGGGTTCCCCGTGGAGCCCTGGCCCAGGCGGCTGGGACTGGAGGTCGCTGTGAGTCTCCTCACTGTCACGGGCATGCTCAGTTGTCCTCTCACGACTCGGGCGTTGCAGGCCGAGCTTCTGGGACGTGCCCTTCCTGTAGGGCGTGCGCTTCCTGGGCTCACCCCGCAGACGGCCCCCTCTCTAGCTCTCCCTTGCTGTGGGGCTGCAGTGCCCCCTCTTTTCCTGTGTCCAGGTCTTCTTTTCCTGTAGATGGCTAAGGGCCTGTGGAGACCGTTTCCCGTGGCCTTCCTTCTCTTGGGGTTGAGGAAGCAGCTACTGCGCGCAGCGGGAGCGCCGGGTCTTGCCCGCGCAGCCCCTGCCCTGCCTGCCCTTCCTGTGCTCTGCTTTGGTTCTGCGCGCAGCCCTCGTCCTGCTGGCCTGGACGCCTGGCTGGGACGCCGAGGGTCTGTGGGTGGAGGCCGCTGGAGTGCCCTCAGCTGCTGACCTCGTGGGTCTCCTGAGGCCAGGTGTCCGGTGACGAGGGGCCGGTCACGGAGGGCCTGGCAGATGAACGCCACCAGGAGCCCGTCCTTCAAAGCCAGCCTGGCCCCTGGCACTCGCCTGAGGGCGCTCTTGTTATTCCCTTCCTGTGAGAGGGCGGGGGTACTGAGAGAGCGCCCTTAGTCGGTCACTGTGTCCCTTAACTGGAGATTGTGTGCTTGACCTCCCAGGGACACGGAGGAGCCCTGCTCGGCCACGGCACAGGTGTCCCCGCAGCCCGCGGCCCTAGCCACGCCCCAGGCAGCCCCCGGGCTCTGCTCACTCTGCTCGGCAGGACCCTGAGCAGAGGGCAGAGGACCTGGTGCAGGGCGGTGCAGGGTGGCCCTGCGGAGCAGAGACCGAGTCACGTCAGAGCAGGCGTCACAGGCCACAGCGATGGGGAGTGGCCTGAGGGGAGGCCGAGGAGGGGGAGGGTGGCCTGAGGGGCAGAGCAGGGGAAGGGAGAGGAGGACGACAAGAGGGCATAGGGACAGGATGGGCGCGCAGGGCGGGGACGAGAGCGCAGGGATGGCGGAGCGCAGCCTCCTGCTCCTCGCCCCTCTCCTGGTGGGGTGTGCGCCTCTTCTGCATCCACCCGTCTCCTCTTTGCCCTCAGCCAACCCCAGTCCCACCCTGGGGGACACTTGTGTCATTGTTCAGTGACGAGGTGCACAGAAGGGCCCTGTCCCCTTCCCAGGTCTGGAGAGGTGCTTTGGCGCACCTGCCACTTTGTCCCCTCCTGCGCTGGGAGGGGTGCTTCTCCCTGGAAGCGTCCTGTGGGAGGACAGTGTGGGACCTGGATGTCACCAGGAGCTCATCAGGAAGGAGGGGCCTGCAGAGAAGGGTGACCTCGTGTCACATTGTTCCTCCTCCTGCTCTCTGGGCCACCCTGGGGCCAGGGAGGTCTCGGCAAGTGAGCTGGGGGAGCGGGCGGCCCTGGTGTCCTGTGGGCCTGTCTGCTCGATTGGGGTCAGGGCTCCGTGTGTGTCCTTGCAGTGGTGTCCCTGGCTGTGACGCCGTGGGTGGCCCTCCCTGTCGCCCTCAGGAGGGTGTCTCCAGGCTGGGCTGGGCCTGAGCCTGCCAGCAGGGCCCTGGGTGGGGTGGAGGGAGGCCCGGGAGGAGGGCGCCCGGCACCTCAGGGCTCCATCGCCGAGTGCCCTGGGCCCCTGGAAGGGTGGTGAGGAGGGGCCCTCTGCCCGAGGGCGGGGCAGACCTCCCGCCTAGGCCGGACTCGCGGCTGTGGGCAGCAGCGAGGGTTGCAGAGCTGCTCAGGTGAGGGGCCTTGAGCAGGAGAGCATGTGGCTCACGTCCTGGGAGCTGTCTGAGTTTCTGAAACAGTCACTGTCACTCGACCCGAGTCGCGTGTCGCGTGGCCTTAGAACATCTCCACCTGGGATGTCAAGC